ATCCATCATCCATCCATCCATCATCCATCCATCCATCCATCCATCCATCCATCATCCATCATCCATCCATCAATCCATTCATTCATCCATTCACCAATCTCTTCTTTTATTTATGTTCTTTCTTTTTACCATCCTATAATTTTTTTTCTTTTTTCCCTTCATCCTTTTCTTTTTTATTTAAGTATACTTTTTTTCTGAACATTATCAACTCCAGGAGCGAAAAACTCGTTGAGGGGGTCAATGCTCATAAGTCAAAAACAACTTTAAAATAAATTAATTAGAATTGACGTGAAAACGAGGGGGGACGAATCAAATTTCAAAAACAATTTACCATAATGAAAAAATACAGTCTTTAATCCTTTTTTAATCTTTGTTTCTCTTCCTACCTTTCATTCTAATCACTTCTTATACTATTTCCTCAGTTCCTTTCTTTGTTTAAGAAAAAGCTTCCCTACACGTTCTCTTCAGGTGAAACTGCTCAATTATCAATTTTTCATTCACTTAAGATCATAACTGCTCAAATGAATAGCACGGTATAGTGATTGGCAAGCTAGTCAATGATATTATTTACAAAACATAATTAAATTAAAGCTCGTATGTCTATTCTTTAGGTACTAACGATCAAAACTCTCGTTTTTCCCCTTAAATCTAACCATCTACTTTACATTTTTATTTATCTTCTCAAGTTGTTTACAACAAAATGTATGAGTTCCTTTATCGTATTGCCATGGCAACGATCTTTGATGTAAAAAAAAGGAAAACATGAATGGTAAATGAATTCTTTTAATGTCAAATAGTTAGATACAACCCAAATTATTCTCTTATGAGAAAAATAACTTACCTAAGAACACAGAAAAAAGCTCTAACCATATTAGTATGATAAATAATCAAATTTATTATATTTTTTTCATAAAAAAATTCGGCTTCTTTTCTCGTTGGTTTTATCAAAACATCACGGGTTATTCTTCGCCCTCTTAAATGAGACTAATTAAACATGAAGCCTATGGTTGCCATTAATATCACAGGACATTTTTGTTCAAAGGTGGTATACGCCTACATGTTGGAGTTGCCATAGAACAGGATGTCGAAGCGGTTAATAACATTAGGCACAATCTGGATCGTAGATTACGAATATTTTGTTACAGGAACAACAAGTGACTTCTAGTGATATAGCTTATATAAGAAAATAAGCAGAAGCGGGAAAAAATCGTGAATGGATGAATAAATGAAAACGAAAAACAGAAAGGAAAATATAGGTAATTATACACTTGTACTGAACTGAATTATTACGAATATTTTGTTACAGGAATAACGGTCGACTTTTAGTGATTTAACTAATACATGAAAATTAACGAAGAAAGAAAATAATAATAAATAATTTAAACGGAAAGAACAGAATGAACTAAGAGAAAAATAGAGAATTCTATTCTTGTAAATGACTTACCCTCAACCTGGTTCTAATTTCGAACATTTCTCATTATTTTGACACCCATACTTGGATTTCCCGACACATAGGATCAGTTCCACCTATCTTTTAGCATGATTATTCATTAGCTACGCTGTAACTACACTAGACCTGTGGAACTCCATCAAAATAAGAAATGCTAACTCAGCGTTAATCGTCATCCAATCACTAATCTTCCTTTCCCTGAGCCTGCATTTTTTGGTCAGTGCATGCTTGAGAATTATGGTATGGTATTTATATTAACCAATCAAAACAGACAAAGTTTCATTCGCGCGGAGGCCACAAAGATTGAAGGCTCATTATATTAAAAGCGTTGAAACTCATTATTCCGTGGGAGTAAATATTCCTAATGCAACTAAATCTCTTTAATTGGTTTAATGCCGTATTTCTATATCACTGACTCCATGGGATGCCCTCAAAAGGTATTCCTGTTTACTTACGGTTTCGGCATTACTGACCCTATTGCGTTACACCAAATCATTGCGTTACTGATTACAGAAAAGATTTCGTGACTGTGAAAAAGCTCTCGGTAAGGACGTGCCGTGCCGTGATTCGGTGTCCAGGCAATTTGATAAAACGAGCAGCGTTGTGATTGGTATAACAAATCGTTGTCACGTTCCGTGACCGTGCCGCGTGACGTAACATTTCAAAATTTACTCTATTGCGTTAACTCTGAAGATTTCAATCAACAGTCACATACATACGAAACATTGAAAGAAAAGTGACAAGATTGAGAGCCAACAAATAATAAAAGGAAACATAAGGAAACGCATATGTTGGGAATTTCTCCCCGAGTGCTTTTTCGAAAATGAAAGCCAAAAAGCCCTTTGCTGACAGACTAAAAAAAATTCATTAAAAACGAATAGCTCATGCTTTTAGAAAGTACCTACGCAAATGTCACGATGATTTTGTTATTTTTCGTCCAGCAGACATCTCGTTTGAGACGTTTGTTGGGTGCTTTGAGAGAACATGTTGTTTGAAAATACAAGAGTTTTAATCCCCCATAAGCTTATTCTGACGAAAACAGAATTATTGGGTTATATTGCAGTAATTCCTACATACATTTTAAAGAAATAAATGGATAAATTTTAAAAAATGGTAAAGAAATAAAGCCAAAACCGCGATGGAAAACCTAGATTAGTATCTTAATAAAAGCATAAAAAATATAATACCTTATTTTTCGTATCCATAGAATTGAGCAATGCTCTTGGCTATGTCCGAGTTCAAAAGAAGCTTAAATAACTAGACGACCTTATTTTACCATGAATTATGACCATATTTTAAGGTATTTTGCCATGAGTTAATAAATATGGCTATTATTTCTATTCGTAYTTTAAACTATGTAAAAGAAAGCAAATATTTTTACCTATAAACAAAACATTATCTAATGATTCCTCTGCGGTTTTGCATTCATTCAAACCCGGGAAGCAGAGTTGGCGTTCAGCGGTCGTATTGAATGACAAAACGTGATCTAACAAGTTATTTACCTTTAAGAATAAGTAAGTAGGAAAATTTCTCCAAGTGAAATACACCGCCAGGTACTAGCAGGACTCCGATAACTCTGACGCTTGCTCGGTCGATGTGCCTTTTTGAAAGGTATTGCCGCAGTTGCGCATGTTTCAAGTAGACCAACAAATGAGTGAGTATCAGAGCTGCTATGGCAACAGATGCGAAATTGAAACGTGCATTCAGCATTGTGAAACACATGGTGATCGGCACGTAGCATAGGCGCGCATTGCACCAAAGGGTAAATTTGATGAAAATAATGAAAAACATATATATATATATATATTGAAAACAAAACGAAAAAAAATTAATTTTTAAAAACGCAATTTCTTTTTAGTTGACTTTACCTTATTTTTTGTTTACTTCATTTACACAGCATAGTCATATATCTTCATTGTTATTTTATATTAATTTGTTTTTATTTTTTTTACTTAGATTTAAATATTTTTATTTTATTTCATTTTTTAAAATTATATGTATTTAAATTATCATTAAAGATTACGTATGAATGCATTATCACGATACTTGATATACGATACAACACTAACTAACACTACCATGGTATTTTAAAACATTTTAATTCAATTCCAGTTGTTAAAAATAAATAATATTCCTCTTGATTTTGAAATTTCATTCATATATTATTTAATTGAATTTCTTCGTAAAATAAGTCCTACAGTCAAATTTCGCTTTACAAATACCTGTTTGATACGGACACCTTTTTAATACGGACACCTGTTTTATACGGACACCTTATTTTTGTCCCGTCATATGCATCTACTCTCATGATAACCTGCTTAATTAGCCATTCCGAGGCCGAGAAAAACTGGGTCGAGTGGGCATTGCAGTGCATTGTGGGAAGTTTAAGAGGACGAATTAGACACCACCTTAAGATGACTAAAAAAGTTCCACAAAGCACTGCAATCTCAACTCCAGCCAGTTTTTTCCTCAAGCATTTATCTCAAGAGTGCAACTGACTAGGATTTAAAGGGGGGTATTAACGAGTTTACCATGGGGCAGAGATTCGCTTGCTGATAGTAAAAAAGTAATAGGAAACCTTACCGTCGTTCTACTCTAAACTGTGAAACACTAGAGTTTATTTTACTTTACCTTTTATTTGTGTAAATAAACTTTATTTTGATTCATTTTTTTTTTTTTTTCCCCATCATTTCATCTCCTTGAATAGCTTTTATAGACTTTCGACACGTAATTCGAATTCTATCGTTTTCGATTCGTAATCTGATTGGTTGACAAACTCGAGTGTTCACGGCCAGAGTAGAACGACAGTAATTGTTGTGTTAATTTTCATATTTCTTTTGTTTCAGTCGATGCATAAGATGTCAACTGACTAATAAAGCCAAGTTTTGGAACTAGTTTGGACTGCGTCGGTGTTTTTTAGTTGAAATTATCTACTACGACACATTTGTTTTGACTAATAAAGCGTCCGCCAAAACAGCCCAATAATTTAACGCATTTCTATAACTCAGAAATGTCTAATAAGAGGTTTGACTGTACTTAAATAAAATCGTCCAGAATAGACCGCTTTAGATGATGATCTTTGCTTCCCTCCACGTTATGCTTGCCTTCTGAAGACTTTTGAGTGCTTCTAAACTGGCTTTGTGCATTCGCTTCTTGTTGCCATTGAGTCGATAACACAGGAAGACCAACAGAAGTTGTTTCAGCGTTTGCTGATTCCTGTTTACGTGTGGGACCAAGAAATTCATCAAGAATGGACAAGGAAGACGAAGCGAAATACTGGGATTGCTGCATTACTTGGACTGAATTTGAAGTCTGCCGAAGAAAGTGTCGTTTTCCTGGATTCATATTATCAGCGGTGACCTCCTGCAAGTTTACATCTTTAATATATTTTGGGTTATTATCGTCATCTTTATTTTCATTGTTATAAATTTGATTATCATCGCATTCTCGGTCATAACCATCATCATCATCATCTGTAACACGAGGCACTTTTCTTTGATTCCTCTTTTTGGTGGAAAGGGTATTTTTCTGAGCGTTGTAGTTATCTTTCCCGCTGTCACTTCCATCATCATTATCTACCGAAATATCTAGTATTTTTTTATTTCTTTCTGTAGATTCTCGCACTTTGTCCTTTCTGAGCTTGTACTCACCACCACCATCACCATCATCATTACCACTACAACCACCATCGTCATTACCACTACAACCACCATCATCATTATTATCGGCACTTTCATCATTATCATCATCATCATCTTTGATACAAGGTATTTTCTTTTGCTTTCTTCTCATGGATTTTCGCTTTTTGTTTTCCTTATGTGAATAATCATCACCATCCCCATCTTCTTCGTCATCATCACCACCGCCACCACCACCACTACCACTTCTATCATCATCATCATTGTCATCATCATCAAATACAACTCCTCTTCTCCTTCGTCTCCTTCCTTTTCCAACAGACGCCATCTTCGCCTTCTCTTTCACTACCTTCCTACCTTTCGCAGTTTTACCACTAGTATCATTGTTCCTTGTCTTAGTAGACTCTCTCCCTTTACTTTCACTTGCCCTCGCAGTCGTCATCTTTGCTCTCTTTTCTCTTTTAGACGTCGTTGCTTTTTCAACAATATTTTCTTCAGCAAAGTATTTCAAACCAATAAGATCAGGATTACTCTTGATATAAAATGCTTTTAATGATTCTCTAAGACTGTCAGGGGTTTCCTTTACCAAGTTTACAGCAAAATCAACCTCAGAGGCAAAACCAAAACATCGGCTCATTTCACTAAACTGGTTCCGTCGTATCCCACGAGGGGTCCCTCCGATGATGACCGTTGCGCCATCGATTACTTCCGTTGTTCCATCGATTGGTTTTTTCGAAGATGAGGCAGCTTTTGACCTGAAGTTATAACACGCTGTCGATCAGAATCTTTGATTCTTCAGTGGCTATGAAACCTGCCTTGCGGGAAAGAAATTTTCTCTTCTTGAGATTTTCTTCACAAATTTTTAGTTGGTTCCTTTTTGAGTTTGCTAGTTTGTATAACGACTAATTTTTGCTTCCGTGTTTGCGAAAGGCAATTGAAGTAATTACCGACATTACAGCGACAACAAAACTCTTCATATGCAAATAGAATCCTAATTTTTATTTCTCTTCTGTACTTCGAGGGTTTTCAATTATCCTGGTTCTTCGGTTTTTTCTCCCTCCGTAAAAATGAACTTGAGTTTTGAATTCTTATTGGATTCGTTGAATCAAGAGACACTTTGTGAAAATGCTACTGGTAATTTAAAAAGTGCGTACAAGAAAAAAAAAGTACGTAACAAAATTTAAAAAGTTTAGAACCTACTAACATGAAAATTATGAAATCTTTTGTCCAAGCAAAGAAAATATCGGCGTACTGATAATTCGAATTTAATTGAGTTTGATTCGGCCCGATTCAGGTTTAGATATTTTAAATTATTGAATAAAAATGTTATTTTATTTTTTACCGGAATCAATGGAAGACAAGTAATGGCTATTCAACAAATACGATGACGTAATTTCGCGCCTTAAAAATAAGCCCACAAGGCAATGCGCGACGAATTTGATAAAAACTTTCCTTCGCATCGGAAGTGGAATTGGGTTAAAAAATGAACAGGAAAAAAGTAAACCTACAAACCTTGCTGCGGAAGAATGCGTTTCTTGATCTGTTCTTGAGTGTGTGCTGGGTTTCTTTGTGTTTTGTTTCTTGGATTTTGATTTTGATTGACAGGTTGTGAACTCAGCTACGTCATCACTCTCTTCACTCGCCTACAACAAAATGAATCATTGGAGAAAAAGGTGGTTTAGGCGCACTAGTTAAGTTTATAATGCTAATAGAGGCTTTGAACCATCATGTGTCGGCGCCCATAATACAGCTTGGGTTACCTGTGGCTAGATGGTAGAACAATAAATTCCCTTTGCTCTCGGGAATTGAATTCTTTCTCATGTAAAACGTTTGTATCGTTAATGCCATTTAGCATGGCTGCCGTCACGTGATGGTGCAAAACCTCTATACAGATCTTGGCAAAACTTGGGCCGAGGCCAGGTCATTGGTGCGCTGCTCTGCGAAGAGTAAGACTGATTTGTACTAAAAGAAATAGTCTCAAGCATTTGCTTTATCTGGTTAATCTTACATGATGATAAAAGACTAGTTTACGTTTTGTGCTACTCTTTCGCTTCTTTCATAAGGGATAAAGGTAACCTCCCGTGTACATCTATTACTGGATATACGCATGCGCTGAGCATCAGTGACTATTTCTTATTCGATGAAGTTGAAAGAGAGGTATGAAAGCAGAGCAAGAGAAAGAAACAGCGACAGACAAAGAAATAGAGAGAGATAGCCGCACTTGGGTAGTTATAGTCTAAGTTATAGCCGGTGAGAATGACAATTAGATCGATCCTAATGTTGTTTGTCACAAATACTGACCTCAAACGCAGCAAAACAATTGGCCGGTTGCTGTGAAAACTGTCGCAGTTCAAAGACATCTTCTATGGCTCTCTTTGACATGTGGGACTCAGCTTTACTTGTTCGCACCACGGATCGATTGGCATGGGTGTATCTGACTCCGCACTTACCTGTAGACATAAATAGTCATGTTTGGCCATTTTCAAGATTCGTAATCAAAAAGAAAGGAACCAGGAATTAAAATAATGGTTGGTAAGACACCGGTCATGATGGCTGATCAAATTAGTTTTAGCTCGTTCATACCTCGTTTATGAATTATACGTTACTGGTCAAAATGACCCGCAATGCAAAGATTTGACCGGATAAATTCCAATGCTTGGCGGATATTTTCCGATATCCGGCCGTTATTTTAAGTCCTGGGAACGAAAAAAACCCAGCCCTCTCTCCCCTCTTAAGGACGCGGAAAAAGTCCCATACCTGTGGAAGTGGGGGGGGGGGGGGGTTGCGTTGTCTTAGCGCAGGTTTCCTCCAAATCCACAAGAACCGTTCATTGATATAAATCATCAAGAGATCATTTTGTTGCAATTGCGGCGTTTGTGGTAATTCGACACAAAAATGTAGTGTTTCTCTAAAACTCGATTTTTTGTATATTTAAAATGAGATAAAATGGAAATATGAATTTTAGGTTACCACCACTATCTCCCCTGGAGTATTTTGCTACGAGAGATATGTTTCTGTTCTGATTGAAGGAATTCAAACTCACTCAGTATCTCTTCTACTTTGTTGTCTTTGTTGTCCATCCCTTGGTCTTCATTGTTTAAGCTTTCAGCCAATGATCTCTTCCCCCTGCAAATCACAAATATATAAACATATTTCTATGGTTCGGCCATTATCATGCAAAATGGCGGCTCAGACATTTAAATATACGATAAGAAGTATTGTACATCGCTAGTTTCTGTGATGTTATCTACTGTTATTACTATGCCAACCAAAGGTGGATTCACTGATGAAACAATTTAACTTGGCAAGAACTATTGTGATAATGGTTGGCAAATTATCATTACAATGCTATTGATTGATAACACCAACTTGAGCTATTCAGTTGTTCATCACTGGCCCTTACATCTGGTTGTAGAAAACATTATAGTGGAATCAAAACGGTTAAAAGAGTTAGTTAAGAGTGTATTTTCTAATAAATATTTTTTCTATAAATACTTCTTACCTCAAACGACTCTCTATCCTTGCCCTTTTCCTCGCTCCTCGGGACACGATTCTCGTTGAAGGCAACAAAGGTTCTTCTTCGTGATCTGATTGGTTGGATTCATCACATGACATACTTAAATATCCCTCGTTGCCGTGACAGCCTTCTTGGTTACCACTAAACTCTTCGTGGCTATGACTATCCGTCTCATTGGTGTGCTTCTGTCGATAATTTTTGAGGTCATTCTCGTTGATAGCTGATTTACGCGAATCTGGTCGCGCCTTCATCGTTTTACTAGCTCCTATCCTTACGCTTCCTTCCATCTCTTTTTCATTTCCTTCTTTATCACTGACATTTTTGTTTAGTCGAGTTTCCAGTTGTTTCTGTCTAATTCTTGTAAATCGCTGTCTCGAGTCGAGGAAAGCGGACTTCCTACTCTCCTCTTCACTGTCAATGTCTGACATCTTGTCTTTTTTATTGTCTGTCTGTCCAAGCTTGGTTTTCTGTTTCCGCGTCTTTTCTTTGCCTGTCTGCCTGAGTTTGACTGTGTCTTCGTGTTTGTCAGTTCGTCTATATCCTCGTATGTCTGTATTTCGGTCTGTCTGTCCGATGATCGTCACATCTTTATCCGTTTCTACGACATCAACTTCACTATCACTTTCTTTTCCTTCCTGTCTTCCTGATTGCCTGCCTACTTGCGTTTCCACGTCCATTCTATTTCCGTCTCCTGATGAAACGCTATCCCCACATTCGCTTTTCTCGCTACCCGAACTCTCCGAACAAGAGAAGAATTCAGAAACATATTTTCGTAGTCTTCTTTGTCTCTGATCTTTCGCTCGAGGAGCACCAACCATCTTTCTCTTTTTCTTTTTCTTTTTCTTGTTCATCTTCTTTTCTTTCACATTCTTGTCATTCTCCAATGACATATTACTAGATGACTGCACACTATCCGTGATTGGCTCTTCGTCTGACAAGCGCGTCCGTTTCTTCCCGCCATTGTCTTTTACATTTATTCCACTGGTGGAAGCCTCTTCGTTGTCATGTTGCTGTGTTTCGTTTTCATCCTCAAAATACTGCGAAGCCATTTCTTCCAAATCATAATCATAATCATCTTCATCTTCACTAGTATTGGCATTTGCCTTATTGTCTTCGTTCTGCAACGAGAAATAAAGCATTATACAGCAAATAAGTTAGATCGGACCAAATCCACTTGGGCGTAATGTTTTGCCAATTTCAGACCACGTGTCATTCTCTTGAGAATAAGATGCTTTGTTTCAGTTGTATCCATATTCATGTGTCTTCTCATGTTTAACCGTTAAACAAAGAAATAATACTCTAGGAAATGAAACGTGGTCTTAAATGGAAAAACAGTGGATTAGGTGGATTAGGTGCGGCGATTGTTGGGCGAGATGGAAAAGGTCGGTGATAAAGATTTCTTGTCAGATTCTGTACCGTCTCTCCCTCCTTTTGGGGAAGTAAGGTTCGAGTCGAGAAAGGAGGATTGCGCAATCCTCAAAAAAGGTTATTTTTGGTCTGTCAAATTTGGCCAGATTTCGTAGGCTGAAAGCGCATCAAGATTTTATTGTCAATAAAACTATTCTTACCCTGTTTGTCTCTTCGTCTTCATTGTTCTCCTTGGCAATAATATTATATTTCTCAACCCTCAGCCCAGCTTCTAGTTTATCAGTCCTCTGGATGATATCATGTGCAAGGCTGACACCCTCAGCGCGGTAAGAGAAGAGATTCTCCATACCAAACAACTCTCCCTTTAAGTCTTTCTCTCCCTCTACTCCTATGAAATATCGCCGCTCACTTGTTCCTCTCACAGCTATGTTGGCCATTTGCTACAGTAAAAATGAAGCATCGTGATTCTTATTATCTGATGTAAAACGACCCTCTATCGAGCGAACACCTCTTTAAGCGGACCGGGGAGACCCTTTATTAAGCTTACACTACCACCGATAGTGACCGAAATTTTCTTTCCATATTTCCTCTAAGACGAACCTATATATAGCGAACACCTCTTTAAGCGGACCAGGGTGACCCTTTACTAAGCGCACACTACCACCGATAGTGACAGAAATTTACTTTCCATATTTCCTGTAAAACGATCACCCTTAAATAAACGTAAGTGACCTCGGATAATGACCGGATTTTTCCTTCCCATATTTACTATAAAACGATTCTTCTCTGTGAACTTCAACCGCAGGCTTTACAGCGCTTCTCAATCACACGCGAAATCGTGAAAAAAATTTCAAGACATTAGAGTTTTGGTGGGCGCCAATTATAGTGTTTTCCAGAATTGTTCGACAACTCAAATGTTGAATGTCATGGAAACGCATTGATTGACGTCCACAAACACCTACTTCGTCACGATGGCAAATTGTACGATTTCACGCTGTGTTATTGAGAAGCGCTGTAAACGCTCAATACTGTGATACTTAAGTGGCCTGCAAATCAAAGCAGTGCGCGCGTTCATTGGTTCTAAGGGAATGCCAATTTTCCCGCCGATGAATCTTCCCTTTTCGTACCTGTTTGTAGACTTGACGTAAGTAGATCATTTCCTCGATTGTTCCAGACGTTATTAGTCGAAATACTTGAACATCTCTTCGCTGACCGATACGATACGCTCTGGAAAACAGTTAACATTTTATATATACTATATCATTGAAAAACAAGTGTTCGTTGAAACGCAGCAATAGAATCAAAATTAAGAGTAAATGGTTTGAACCCATGCGTTAAAGTTTGTTGTGAAATGTGATCGTCCGGGTGAGTGTAGTCTTGAGAAAGGCTGTCGTTGGTGGTGACTGACGTTTCGACAACCTGAGCGGAAGTCATCTTCAGAGTCCAGTGAGAAAACGAGAGACAATATTGTTATATTTGCTTCTTTCGACACGATCATCATAAATATCATCACAATCAAAGGCAATTAATCATCATTATTATCACTATCGTCATCATTACAATCATCGCCATTGTTATAGTCATCATCGTGACTTTATATCTGTTAATATCAATCAATGATCATCATCATAACCTTCCTCACATTAATATTACCTGTCTTGGGCTTGTAGGTCATTAGCAGGGTTCCATGTTGGATCGAATATTATCACCACATTGGCACCTGTAAAGTTCAGCCCCAGCGCACCTGCTTTAGTTGACACAAGGCAAACGAAGATTTCGGTGTTGTTATTAAAATCTCTGACGATCACTGGACGAAGACTTGTCTTAGTTTTCCCGTCAAGACGCGAGTAGATCATGCCTCGACCGATCAGATACTCCTCGAGGATGTCAAGCAACTATGAAAATAAGATAGAAAGATATGAGTGAATATCAATGTCAGTTAAGAAAAGGAAACTCATACGTCAATCCCTCACTCCATCCATCCATCCAATCCTCCCTCCACCCATCCATCCATCCATCCATCCATCAATCCATCCTTCCCTCCATCCATCCACCCATCCCTCCCTCCAACATCCATCATTCCACTCATTTATCCATCC